TTTTCTTTTCTTTTCTTTTCTTTTCTTTTCTTTTCTTTTCTTTTCTTTTCTTCTCTTCTCTTCTCTTCTCTTCTCTTCTTTTCTTCTTTTCTTTCTTTTTTCCCTTCCTTCCTTCCTTCTTTCTATCTATCTATCTATCTATCTACCTACCTACCTACCTACCTACCTATATCTATTTTATATATACAGAGTTCTGCCTGCCTGTATGCCTGCAGGATAGAATAGGGCACCAGATCTCATTACAATGAGCCACCATGTGGTTGCTGGGAATTGAACCCAGGACCTCTGGAAGAGAAGACAGTGCTCTTAACCGCTGAGTCATCTCTCCAGCCCCCCTTTAAGATAGTGCCTTATATAGCCCCAGATATCTAGTCTCAAACTTGTTGTGTAGTTGAGGATGACCTTGAACTTCCGCATGTGGCTCTTTATTTCAGACAGTCTCGCCCCACATGGCACCCTCTGGCCCAGAACTCACTATGTAGACCCGCTGACCTCATTTCCCTGCTTTCCAAGTGCCGGGATTACTGTATAGCTCTGGATGGCCTGCAATTTACTACATAGTCCAGGCTGGGCTCAAACGTGTGTTCCTCCTGTCTCTGCCTCATGGGTGCTGGCTACAGACATGTACCACCGTGTCCAACAATCTCTAGAGGACAGTTTAATTCCCATACAAGACTTTTGTATTGTTGTTTTGTTTTTGTTTTTTAAGACAGGGTTTCTCTCTGTAACTGTAGATGTCCTGGAACTCACTCTGTAGACCAGGGTGATCTACAACTCACAGAGATCCACCTGCCTCTGCCTTCCAAGTGCTGGGATTAAAGGCATGCGCCACCACCACCCAGACCCCATACAAGACTTTTGGGCAACCACATCCTATAACTTCTCCCATCAAGAGGCTGTGCATCTCTGGGGTTTCCTGCCCACTGCTTGCCTCTCCAGTATCAGGCACCCCCCCGCCCTTCAGTCCTACAGCCCTTGTTAACACGCTCATGCCTGCCTGTTCTTCTAGACCCGTCCAGGCCCCTGAATCCAGAGGACCTCTTTATTTATGTATTATTTATTTATTTTATGCACATGAGTGCCCTATCGACTTTGTGCCAGGATAGGGTATCAGATCCCACTACAGATGTTCGGGAGCCACCATGTGGTTGGCTGGGAATTGAACTCAGGACCTCTGGAAGAACAGCCAGTGCGTTTAACCTCTGAGCCAATTCTCCAGCCCCAACCTCTTTGTTTATAGGTGGGAAGAGAGAGAGAGAGAGAGAGAGAGAGAGAGAGAGAGAGTTCCCACTACTTTCCCGAGCCCTAGCCCCATGCTGGGGTGGCTTGGTTTCTCTCATTGAGCCCCAGGTTTGTCTTTCCCAAGAGCAGCAGTGTCCAGAAGATAGATCCTGGGATGGGTCCCCCAGGAAACCATGTCTGGGTTTTCCACTCCCCTCCCAGACGGGGGACCCCTGAGTACAGAGCCTGATTTCTCTTACTCTCCTTCAGGTTGAGGGCTCTTTGAGGATTGATCCAGGATTGCTTCCCCCACCCTTCCTTCTCTCTGTTGATTTCTGGAAACTTCTACCTACAGTCCTCATGTGCATGGCTTTCTCTACAGCCTGAAGTACAGGGGCCTCTGCGCACTTCCGCAGGCTATACCTCTGGCTCTGGCCGTAGAGATAAGCCAGACACTTGGCTGATAGGACTGGCCTCTCCTCTGGGACTATGACCCAGAACTCCCGCCTGGAACTCTACTCTGACCTAACAAAGGGCTGTCTCAGAACTCAATCTCCACAGTGCTGTTGGCAAGCGCAGGGATGCTATTTTGGTCAGTGTGTATGGGCTTAGCTTAAGTGGCATGAGCCAAACCCCTGCCCTACTGACCTCTTCCCTGGAGGAGCACAACAGGCCTCAGGCCCACCCTGGGCAGGGATAAGAGGCAGACTCTAACTGAGCACTCAAAGACGGCAGAACTCCAGCCGCAGCTTGAGCCTCCCACAGCAATGAAGGGACAGAGTCTAGACCAGTTTTGACATTAGCAGAAGGGGCCCAGACGGAGGCTGACACACCTCAGCAGAGTGAGTGGGGCTGCAGGTAGGCTGGGATGCGGTGGCTTTTTTGGGACAAGCCCAGCAGGGACCACATAGGGGTGACTATGGGATTGTTGGGAAAGAAAGTTCATCAGGAGTTGAAGGATGACTTTCTGCTCCGGTCCAGCCCTGTGTGGCTGCGTGACACGGACAATAACTTGGCTGTGGCAGAGTTGCTGAGTGGAGGGGGAGTGGGGAGGATGTGCTGCACTGTGCCTGGAGGAGGGAGGAGGGAGGAGGGAGGAGGGAGGAGGGAGGAGGGAGCAGCTGAGGATCCAGTCCTAAAGACGGCAGAAGAGAAGCAGTCAGAGATGGGTCCATTGCTGCCTTCTGCTCTAGGGTGGTCCTCAGAGGCTGGGTCAGGACTCAGGGTTTCTGCCATTAGGGTTAAGGATATGAATTTATGCCGGGAGGAGGTGGCACATGCCATTAATCCCAGCACTCGGGAGGCAGAGGCAGACAGATCTCTGAGAATTCAATGCCAGCCTGGTCTACTACAGAGCGAGTTCCAGGACAGGCCCCAAAACTACACAGAGAAACTCTGTCTTGAAAAAAAGTATATATAATATATATAATATACAAATAATATATAATATATAAAATATACAATATATAAAATATATGTGTATTATTTGTTATAATATATATATATATATATATATATATATATATATATATATATATATTATATTGACGCTTCATCCAGAGAAAATTGGGTAGAGTAGAGTCTGGCTGAGAGAAACTCATTTACCTTGATGGTATGGATGGGATACAGGCTAAGTTTTAGGAAAGGTGGGAGGGCAGACTTTGGGCATTACATCATCCAAAGCTATAGATGGCAGACTTGAGAAGGCAAGGAGGACCTCTGAAGAGCCTGGTCTTGAGGTCGAGGGTGCTGAGACAGCATAGGTAGAGGGGAGTGAGACAGGACCCCTAGCAAGTGATTGAGGCAGAACTTCCTTCTCCCTCCCTGTATCCCCTCCCTCAGCTTCCCTGGGTTTGGGGGATAACACTGGCAAGAGCTGCCTAGTGGCTTCTTCCCTGGGAAACTGAGGTCTGGTGGTAATGTGGGGCCAAGTTCCGTGTCCCTCAGTCCTAGGTTCCTCTAATTCCACAGCATCTAAAAACCAGAAAAACATACGATGTCTCAGACAGACCAGCCGAGGCGGTAAGCATCCTCATTCCCCACTCCAGTCCCTATCCTTGACCATAGCACCTTGGTTGCCTTCCGGTCCTGTCCCCAGCATCTCCTGCAGAGCAGCTGCTCTCCTGGGTCCCCTCTTTCCCACCTACCCAGTAGTCCATTACCCAGCCCACCTTTCTCTGATGTCCCATGGCACAGCCAAGATCAGGTTTCTGGGCTTAGGGGAAGCTCGGAAGCTCAAGATGAGGATCCAGGATTGATGAACAGGTTCTGACTCTCCCGAATGGCACGCACGTAGCTGAACCAAATCCATCACTTTTTTGACTCGGGTACAGCTCTCTTGGGGTGAAATAAAAGCCAGGTCTTTGCACTGGCCGCGGTTAGGTTCCCTTTACCGCCTGTCCTCTGCCCCAAGCCTCGCTCTCCTCCTCGCTCTCCAGGCTTCACTGTGGCCCCTTTGCTTTCTGTCCACCTGCTCAGGCTGCTACAGCAACTGTTCCTTCTTCCCACAGCTCCCTCCGCACACTTAACCCCACGGTCACGCCTTCACCTCCACTCATTTCCGAAGAGGCTTCTCAGAAAGGCTTCCCGCGCCGACCCCGCTTTCAGGCACACTCCTTGGGCAGACTCTGCATTTCCCGGCCCCTTCCTCTGGTTTTCAGGTCTCTGTAGGACTTGTTACCCTCTCCGGCAAGCACGCATGCTCATTCCGTTCCTTGCTACGGGAGCGCATGTTTGTGTAGTGTTCTCTCTCGGACTCACAGACCCAGCAGCTCCTGTGCTGCTCTCTCAGGCATGTCCCCGCTGCTTGGCTTTAGATTCCCTTCATAAGACCTGTTGATGGGGTCCCACCAACAGCTCAGATCCCAGGTAAAAACAACCTTCTTTATGCCCCCCTCTTCTTCCTGTGGTCTCAGCTCAGTAGCGATGCCCTCTTCCTCACCTCCAGCCAGAAGTCGAAGCCATGTCCTTAACATTTCCCTCTCCATAATGGCTCACATCTACTCACCAATACCCTAAAATAGTTACACTTTTGAGTCTACTGCTACCCTACTTTCCCAAGGCCGACCTAGCCACATCTACCTCATTTCTCTTCAGTCTCCAGACCCAGTACCTCTCCACATGCCAGCCCTGTACGTTCCTAACAGACACGGGTGCCTGGAACTCATTGTTCATCTAGCTGTCTCTCCAACAGATTTTACTGAACAAGCGATTATCAAGTGTCAGGCACTTTAGGAAGCTTGGGTGTTCGTCTGGTTAAGAACAAGACGTAGATCACCTGGTTCTCATCCATTAGCCAATATTTACTGCTCACCTGTGGGCCTGTCACTGAGGGTACACGAGGCAGTAAGACTCTGCCCCCTCAGGTTGCAGAGCCCAGTGCCATTGTTGAACCCCTCCCCCATCTTCTGAAGAACCCTGGATTTGTTTTCAGGCTTCGGTGCTGTGCTAGAGACTAGCATCAGACTCTACCATATCTCGTATGCACTGCAAAGAGCCCCACTGCTCCTAAACCCTGGCTTGTGGCCCCCAGCTCTGACTCTTGCAAAGAGACAGACACAGTCAAGCTCTATTTCCCGACTGCTCCCCCCTGCCCATCAATGTAAACTGCACTTTCAGCTCCTGATCCACCCCCTTTGCTAAGTGGCCACATTGGTACACCCCTCCTACCTGCTCAGTCTGGGGTTGAGGGAGGAAGAGGACTGGCTGGCTCATCCTTCCTCTCTGTGTCCCTATGGTTCTCAGGTATCTCTCCTCCCAGCTCTTTCTACTGCCCTGGGCAGGAGGAGAAGGTACATGGGGAGAGGCTACCAGGTTACCCATTAACTCAGCCATGAGCTGAAGGGCTGATGGGCGGGAGGCAGACTTGACTCTTCTGTTGGTTGACTTGGTCTGCTGCTTTAGGTCCACCCAGAACGCCACGATGGCCCCAAGGCCCGTGTTCAGGAACATCCAGGGGGTGCTGCAGAGGGAGATGGTGCGGGAGTTCCTGGCCGAGACCATAAGCACCTATGTCATGATGGTGAGTGGGGGGGGGCAGAAAAGGCAGCTCTCTAACCTGTCCACCCCAGGGGTCATATCAGTCCTTCCCCTGCCTCTGCGCTGGGAGTTTGGGATAGAAGCAGAGGAAAGCAGAGAGGCCTTTCTCACCATTGAGTCTTTTGGGGACAGAAAAGCGCTCATGATGGACCAGGATAGAGTGGATGAGGGGAGAGGAGAGCCTATAGTGATGAGAACGAGAGGCAAGGCATAGGGGTGTGTGTCTGCAATGCCAGCATTTGGGAGCCGGAGGCACAAGGACTGAGGCAAATTTGAGGCTAGCCTGGTATACATAGCAAGTTCCAAGCTGGCCAGGGTTACCCTGCAAGGAAGTGTCTCTAAACAAAAACAAAACGCAGCGAATCAACAAGTCAAACAAGAGAAAATGGGGAAAGACCTGGGTAGGGTGGAGCTCACCTGTGGGATGAGGTTGAGGTAGGGCAGCTGGGAGTTTGAGTCCTTTGTCCTGTTGCTACATGGCAAGTTCAAGACCAGTCTTGGGCTACACAGTGAAAGTTGGGGAGACCTTTGAGAATTGGTCTGAGAGAAATTAGGGAGGCCATCAAGCAGGGAAGTGAAGGGAAGGCGAGATGGCTCAGCAGGTTAAGGGGCTTGATGCGCAGTCTGATTGATGACCTGAGTTTAGTGCCTGGAGCTAAGGTAAAGATGGGAGGAGAACACGATCCACAGGATTATCCTCTGACCTCCACCCGCACACTGGGCGTGTGTTCCCCGTGGCCGTCATACGCGTGCACGCACACTTTTTAAAAAATAGTAGAATGCTGCGGCTGCCTTTGGATTTCAGGAGGCAGTTGTGGAAAGGAGTCAGTCGTCAGGTTGGCTGGAGGGTGGGTGGTGACAGAGCCAGGGATGGGGAAGAAGGCAGACGGAGGGTCAGATGAGGGGCCGGCCATTCTGGAGCACAGTCCCAGCACAGGTCCAGAGGAGAAGTTAATTTGGATGGAGAAGAGATGTCGTGGAGAGATTCAGGACGTCGCTAGAGAGGGGGTTCTGGTGCTCACGGATGCGACAGAGAAAGAGGTAAAGTTCACTATGGAGGATGGTTATAAAATTATTCAGAATTGACGTGGGAGTGACTCATGACACACGTAGGCTCTTCTCCTAACCCTGACCATCCACAGCTGGCTGGAGTAGGTCTCTCCCTGGCTCCAAGCCTGACTTCCCAGTTTCCTAGTATGGAAACCCAGTTCCTGGGCTTGGGAGCCGGGTCTGGGTTCTGTGTGCATTTACCAGTTCACAGAGTTAGAGTCTCTGCAGGCAAACGCGCACACTAGCATCCGGCAGGCAGGCAGACGTACATGGAGGGGGCCAGGTACCAGTACCCAGTACAGAGAGTTGGTTCCTTGTTCCTTGCTATTATTATTTTGCCTTTTGCAGATTTAATCTTGATTTTACACACACGTGTGTGGGTCGTGTACGCCAGTGCAAGTGTGTGGGGACCAGAAGGGAGGGTTGGATCTCCTGTGAGCTGCCATGTGGGTGCTGGGAATTGAACCCGGGTCCTCTGAAGAGCAGGCAGTGTTCTTAACCGCTAAGCCATCTCTCCAGCCTGGGTTTTTTAAAAATTAAAAAAAGTCTTTAAAAAATTGTTCATGTATGCGTGTGTGTGTGTGTTTGTGTGCGTGCGAACATACTAGGTTCATTGTTATATTGACAGGCGCTCTCCTCTCTTCTCTGAATCTCTCACCTCCATCCTTACCTTCCTTGTCTCCTGAGCTGTGGGGAGGACAGCCAGTCTTGTCCCTCCTTAACCCAGGGCAAAGTAATTCATTCATGACCAAACATTCCAGTCCTATGAAGGCTGTTAAACCTTGGAATGTGGGAGGCTGGCGGGTGCCTAGGGGAAGCAAGGACTGCCCAGGGCTTGACACATGCCCACATCTGCTTTTCTTTTTTTTATTTCTTTTGGCAGTATGGGGGCGGGGGAAGCGGGGTCAAACCCGGAAGCTATGCGTGTGACAAGTGCTCTATCACATGTTACGAATTTCGCCCCTAGTCCTTCCTTTTGAATTTTTTTAATTGAAATGTTTCCTTTGGTGTGTTTGCGTCTTTCTATTTTGTGTGGGCGCAAACGTGCCCCAGTGAGAGTTGCAAGGCTGGAGGAGAGCTCGTGGGAATGGGTTCTCTGCTCTGTGGGTTCTGGGGACCGAGCTCCAGTTGCCAGGCTTGGCAACAAGTGAAAAACAACAACTGTTTTTCCTTTGAAAATTTTGTTTATTTAAAATAGGATATTTCTGGGTAGCCTTTTAAACTTCTCCTGCCCCAGCCTTCTGAGTGTTGGGATTAAGGGTGTCTACCCCATGCTCTTGGGGTGCCATGAGGAGACCTGTCTCAAGAACAAACAACAAAGTCAAGGCTTTGACGTGAGGCAAACGGAAGTAGGACCTTCTGTCTAAAGCCCCCACGCTTGTCCAGGCCTTGCCCCTTCCTGCATCTCCCAGCCTCTTACCAAACACTGGGATGCTAAGCCCCTTCCCAGAGCTTTGCAAAGGCCTGTGAGATAGGTGGTATTATCATTTTAGACAGGGTCTCTCTGCATAGCCCTGGCTGTCCTGGAACTCACTACGTACACCGGACTGGCCTCAGACTCACAAAAGTCCACCTGCCTCTGGCCACTGAGAGCTGGGATTAAAGAAGTGTGCATCATGTCCAGTCTGGGATAGGTACCATTATCACCCTATTTTACAGATGGGGAAATTAAGGCTCTACGAGACAAAGTCATCTGCCAAAGTCTAAATCAAATCCAGGCCAGGGTGATGTCTTGATCCTTTATCACTCAGCTCTGAGATGGCAGGCTTGTTAGGGGCTCGGCTAGCTAACCCTCCTCCAGCTGGGATAGGGCACTTGCTTTCAGTCTCTGGAGAAGTTCAAGAACACCTTGGGGGCTTCAGGCCCCGTCCGCTCAATGGGAGTGGAAGCATTCACTCCCCTGACTTTCCGTGAGGGGTGAGGAACACTTGTAAGAAGAACTTTTAGAGGACAGTGTGCTGTCGTTATTTTTAGCTCCTTGTCTTGTGCCAAGAAGTGGGGGCTTTTTGGTTATAGGAAGCTCAGTGAATCACCAGGGTAAAGGTTGTGCCGAAAAAGGCCAATGTGACCTTGGGCCCTATTTTCTGCAGCGAGGACGAGGTTGTTGTTCTGAGAGCTGGCTTCCTGACTGTTGCTGGCACTCTGGTGGACTGGGCATTCGCTGACAGGGAGAGGAGGGGCTGGAGCCATCAGGGCCCTGGAAACCTGGCTGTCCCTGTGAGTTACAGGGCAAGGATTGCAAACTCCCCTGCCTCAGAATGCCGGAAGGGGGTAAAGCCCTTTGGTCCTTGGATAAGGGTGCAGTCACTACGGGTCCAGCTTTCAGCTGTCAAGGAGAGTGGAATGAAGGCCATTATGCCCGGATTGTGTCATTTTCCCAGGGCAGCTGAAATTCCCTAATTCAACTATCCAAACAAAACCTGTGTGCTGGGTGGATGCAGGCATGCATTGCTGTTGGCCAACCCAGCAGCAGGAGCACATCCTGTGAAGCTTGTTCATGCATTCATCATCATTAGCAAGCGGTTTTGAAGCCAGGTGTGGTGGCACATGCATGTAATCCCAGAACTCGAGGAGTGGAGGCAGGAGGATTGTCATAGCTGTGAGAAGGCCTGTCTCAAGAATGAACAACAACGAACGTCAATGCCTTTGACGTGAGACAAACAGCGGAAGTAGGGCCTTTGGTCTAAAGACCTTGCTTGCTTGCCCAGGCCTTCCTGCTTCTCCCAGCCTGTCAGCCTGGGACTGGCCTCCTTCCTGTTTTCTCCTGCTGTCTTTTCTCCTGGACTAGAAGCCAGGCCACCTTGGGGCTCCCCTGCACCTGTCCTGGGCTCCTGCAGGACTCAGGGAGCCCCTCAACTGCTTCTCTCTGCTTTTGTGGTTGTTTCATTTTTCTCCCCTAAGGTTGGTTGGTTTGTTGCATTTAAAATTATGTTTAAGTGTGTGTGTATGTGTGTGTGCACGCACACATGTTGACCAGTGTACATATGCATGTGAGTTCAGATGCCCACAGAGGCCAGAGGCATCAGATTCCCCTGAAGATGGGGGTTGCAGGCAGTTGTGAGCCACCTGACATGGGAACTCAGAACTGAACTCAGGTCCTTTGCACGAGCAGTGTGTACTCTTAGCCACTAATCTCTCCAGTATTTTTTGTTTGTTTGTTTTAGACAGGGTCTCACTATGTAGTTCAGGCTAACCTCAAATTTGGGATTACATGCATGTACTACTATGCCCAAGTGGGTTGCTTTTTAAAAAATATCATTTCTCATTGTGGTGTGTGTATGCACATGGAGACCAAGGACTCACGCTGGGAATCATCACCCTTCCGCCTCACTCACTGAGACAGGGTCTCTCAATCAAACCTAGATGTTGCTGATGTGGCCAGTCACTCTGGAGATAGTCCCTGCCCTTGCCTTCTGAGGTTGAAATTACCGGTGGGCCACCACATTTTAGTGGGTTTCTGGGGATTTGAACTCTGATCCTTGCACTTGGATGGCATGTGCTTTAACTGCTGATCTGACCTCTCTCTCCCTAACTCCCTCCCTCTTTTTTAGAGACAAGGACTCACTACATTTACAGCTCTGGATCCTGGCTGGCCTGGAAGCTACCGTGTAGAACATTTAGAACAAACCCTTTTCCTCTGGAGTGTGGGGACCACAGGTGGCCTTCACCACACCAGGCCTGACTCTTCCCAGCTGTGCCCCCCACTCTTAAGACTGCTTGATCTCCCACTCACCAGAGGAGATCATCAGGCGCCCCCTGTAGCTAGCTCCTCCCGTCCTGTGTCTCTCACCTCCGCTCAGCTAGAATAGATGGCTTCCTTCTGGGAGCCTCTCAACCTCTGCACCAACACACTTTGTCCATCTCACTCTCTCTTTCTTTTTTTTTTCTCCCGAGACAGGATTTCTCTGTAGCTTTGGAGCCTGTCCTGGAACTAGCTCTTGTAGACCAGGCTGGCCTCGAACTCAGAGATCCACCTGCCTCTGCCTCCCAAGAGCTGGGTGCTGGGATTAAAGACGTGTGTCACCACCGCCCGGCACCTTCTCACTCTTCTCTCCCTCTTTCTCCCCTCTCTTTGCTCTCCCCCCTCTCTTTTCTCTCTTTTCTTTCCTCTCCCTCCTCTCCTCTCTCCTCTTTCTTTTCTCTCTCTCTGCCTATGAGCATACCAAAGCCTCCCTACGCAACACAACACAGGACACAAACATGCCGCCAGTCTCTACCAGCTCTCTTCCTCCTCCTCTGTTGGGGCTTTTCATGGCACAGCACTTCACTTGCATGAATCATGGCCTGAATTTCACCCTTAGTGCCTCAAACAACAGACAGAATCCAACACTGTCCCTCAAAATTATCTTTGCTGGACACAATGATGTGTGTCTGAGACAGAAGGATGGCTGAGCTTAGGAGCTTGAAGCTCTTCTGCAGAAGATAGTGAGACCTTGTGTCCAAAACAAAACAAAGAACTAGACTCTTCCCTGCCACCATGTACCTCTCAACCTCTGGACCCAGCCACTGCCCCCAGAGCCTGGCGACACAACATTCAGTGCCTACTAATGACTTTTAGAGTGTCACACCCGAAAGACTGCTCTTTAGACTATCTGTGTGACTCAGGCTGCTCAGACAGAGCTGACTCTGCCCTCCTCGGGACGCCATCTCTCCCTGGCGTCCATGACGTTAGTGCTCCTTTCTTCCATTTCTGGCTCTGGCTGAGATTCCTAACACCCACCATGAGTCCCGCACAGGTTCAGCCCTGTGCCCTCTGCTGGCTTTGTCATCCACTGATGGAGTTAGTTTCAGCTCTCATATCCACAGTTCCTTCTTTTTTTTTTCCTCTCATAAACAAAGGTGTACAGGGAAATGCAATGTCAGATATGCAGATGAACACTTTGTAGTAGCCACATTAACGAGATAAAAGAACCAGGTGAAAATGTTTTGAATCACCATGGTGGTGGTTAACCCTCGTATTCCAGACTTTAGGCCAGTGTGTAGTCAATGGGAAACTGCTTAAGTGGTCCTCATTTCCGATCCTGAGGACGTGAAGTCTGGAGCGTGCTTTATTTGCACCGCGGCAGATCTCAGTTTGCAGCAGCCACACTCGAGTACCTAACAGCCATACGTGGTCAGTGACTGCCAATTTAGAAGACACATATGTGGAGGGCTGATTGCCAGCAGCCGGGTAGTAGGGATCTCTTTATGACTCACGTCCAAACACATGGGCATCTCTAAGGAAGTTTCATCTGAGTGTAAGTGCGTTTTTAGTTTTACAAGTTTATTATGAACCGGGCGGTGGTGGTGCACTCAGGAGGCAGAGGCAGGCAGATCTCTGAGTTTAAGGCCAGCCTGGTCTACACAAGCGAGTTCCAAGACAGACAGTGCTCCAGAGAGAGACCTTGTCTTGAAAAGACCAAAAAAAGTTTATTACACATTATTTGTTTATTTATTTGTGTGTGTGTGTATACATGCACATATGTGTGTACATGTCCATATTAGCTTGACGGTAGCACATTTTCCTGCTGAGCCATTCTTGCTGGTCCCTTAAATGTTATGTGATGTAGGATCAGGTATTACAGGCAGAGGAGTTCATTTTGGTTTTGGTTTTTTGTTTTGTTTTCTTCCTTTTCTTTTCTTTCTTTCTTTTTTTTTTTTTTTTTTTGACAGTGTTTCTCTGTGTAGCCCTGGCTGTCCTGGAACTCACTCTGTAGGTCAGGCTGACCTCAAACTTAGAGATCTGCCTGCCTTTGCGTCCCGGTTGCTGGGTCTAAAGGTGTGCACCACCACTACCTGAGGAGTTAGTATTTCTAAAAATACAAAGGCATTCATGGCAGCAAGGGTTGGCACAGATGGCTTCCTAGATTCATGCTTGGCTCATCACCTCACAGGTAACATGACCTTGAATAGGTCATCCAGTTTCAGACAGCCCAACGTCAACTGGGGAGAATAATAGTTCTTTCAGATGGGCTATTAGAACCTCTTTAGGCAAGCCTGTGGGATGAGCTGCCTTGAGGGGGGCAATTTACACCAGCTGTCCTCCTTGAGACCCCACTTCGAACTAGCCTCTGACCATACCATCCCATACCATCCCGTACCATCCCATACCTTCCCCTGTACCTTCCCATACCATCCCGTACCATCCTGTATGTTCCCATACTATCCCGTACCATACCATACCATCCCGTACCATCCCATACCATCCCGTACCATCCCATACCATCCCGTACCATCCCATAGCATCCCGTATCATCCCGTACCATCCTGTACCTTCTCATAGCATCCCGTACCATCCCATACCATCCCGTACCATCCCGTACCATCCCGTACCATTCTGTACCTTCCTATACCATCCCGTACCATTCTGTACCATCCCCATAACCCAGATCTCATTGACTCAGGTCTGAGAGGCCTCACTAGGGACCAAGGAGGAAAGTTTGTAAGGAAAGACTGTAGAGAGAGAAGGCATGGTCTTTACAAATGATGGTGGGGAGGCCCAGGGATGAGGGCTTGGGAGTGGGGTGGTCAGGAGGGGAAACTGAGGATTGAGTCTTCCTCTGATGGGGGATGCTGGGCAGGCAGCTCCCTCAGAAGCCCTTCCTCACAGGTGTTTGGCCTTGGTTCCGTGGCTCATATGGTTCTAGGAGAACAAAAGATGGGGAGCTTTCTTGGTGTCAACTTGGGTTTTGGCTTCGGAGTCACCATGGGCGTGCACGTGGGAGGCGGCATCTCCGGTGAGTGAGCCCCTATCTGGTCTTACAGGCAAGAACAAGTCTTTCTGGTGGGCTGTTTCTGCCCCCTTCAGGAAGCCCCTTCTCTGGCACAGTTAGTGCTGCCCCTGTAGGTGACCCGTAGGGAGAACCCCCGGGAAGCCCTGTTTCCCCCAAACTCTTCATGGACCCTTTGACCATTTTTACTCTCCGGGTTATCTTAGGCAAAGGAGTCACTCAGCTTCTCTTGCCTTACGGCAAAGATGGAGATGATGGTCCCAGCTGTGTGTGGCCTTTTAAGGGTCAAACGAGGGAGTTCTTGTCACAGGGGACACACTCACCACACAGAAGCCTTTCTTTCTGACCTGTTGCAAATGCTGTCGCTGTTCGTTTTGTTGCCTGTTTCCTTCAACCCAGCAGCTGACCCAGCTCTTTCTCATGACAGGAGCCCACATGAACGCGGCCGTGACCTTCGCCAACTGTGCAGTAGGCCGGATGCCCTGGAGGAAGTTCCCCCTGTACGTGCTGGGCCAGTTCCTGGGCTCCTTCTTAGCTTCAGCCACCACCTACTTACTATTCTACGGTGAGTGTTCTTCCTGGGTGGCCTGTCTCCAGACTCTCATTCGATTCCATCCTGGTGTCCTGTCCTGCAAGACCAAGAACAAACAAACAAGAACCAGGAAACCTAGCAGATTAAAGCTGTTGAAGTATTCCCAGCCGCTCACTCCACAACCTCCTTTCCGGGGACCCCCGTGGGGGATTAACTCAACCTTTGTCACCTCCACAGGTGCCATTGATCACTTTGCGGGCGGAGACCTGTTGGTGACTGGTTCCCTGGCCACTGCCAACATTTTTGCCACCTATCTTCCTGATCACATGACCTTGTGGCAGGGCTTCCTGGATGAGGTCAGTGCTCAGGACAGAAGAGTTCTGGATGGGATTGTCCCAAAAGACCCGTCTCTGCCACTACAGATTTGGGGTCCCGCCTGGGCACCTGTGGCGTGGCCATGCCCTCAGTGGGTTGCCATGGCGTTTCCTCCCCAGGTGTTCTTGACCGCGATTCTCCAGCTATGTCTCTTCGCCATCACAGACAAGAAGAACAACCCAGCGCTTCAGGGGACTGAGGCCCTAGTGATAGGCGTCCTTGTTTGCGTCATTGGGGTGTCCCTAGGCATGAACTCAGGATATGCCATCAACCCATCCCGTGACCTGCCTCCCCGCTTCTTCACTTTCATTGCTGGCTGGGGCAAACCAGTGTTCAGGTACTGCCCCTGCCAGACCCCATTCCCATCAGCGTTCTGGGGGCGGGGGTGTCCCTGCATGCAGAGGGTGTGAGATGAGCTGTTAGGGCAGCTCAGGAGAGTCTCATGAAGTCTCCAGGCGGTCTGGGATCAGGAGGGGCCCAGACATCTTCAGATGTGGATCCTGTTGTTGCTGGGCTGTCAGCCCTGTCCCCGGTTCAGGCTGAGGGTCCCGTAGAGTAGATGGGATGGCTTCAGTGTTGGTCTGAACTGGACAGAAATGACACCCTGAGCATCAGTGTCCTCAGCAGGCCTCCCTCTCTTTTCCTGCAGAGCCGGGAACAATTGGTGGTGGGTACCAGTGGTGGCACCCCTCCTGGGCGCCTACATAGGTGGCATTGTGTACCTGGGCCTAATTCACTCCAGTATACCACAGGGACCTCAGAGTTTGGAGAATGCTGAAGCAGGAGACCAGAAGATAACCGTGTCATCCAAGGCTCCCCCTATGCCCATCTCCACGACCCCAGCTTCCACCCAACCTGCTCCACCCCCAAGTGACTCTGTGCCTGTAGAGCGCTTCTAAGCAGAGCTATCTGGGACCATGTCCTTACGTCAATAAAGCACACCTCAAACGTGGTGGCCCTCACTCCCTGGGGCCTCCTGTCGCTGGACTCCCACCTGGGCTCTTCTGGGAGATATTTCAGCATGGAACTTGTCGTGTAGAGGAGTCTGGCCTTGCGCTTGTAGCAACAATCTTCCCGTTTCTGCCTCCTGAGTGTTGGGAATACAGGCATTTACCACCCTGCCTGGAATATTCCAGGGTTATTCTTCTGGGCTCTTTTTTTAATACTGGGGCATAGGACCAAAAGACTCCAATTCTTTCCAACTCCAGGAGGGGTAGACCTGGGAGAATGTCTCTACTCAGGGCCTCACAGTCGTGTAAAAAAATACCACACAACTGGGCGGTGGTGGCACATGCCTTTAAGCCCAGCACTCGGGAGGCGGAGGCAGGTGGATCTTTGTGAGTTCGAGGCCAGCCTGGTCTACAAGAGCTAGTTCCAGGACAGGCTCCAAAGCTACAGAGAAACCCTGTCTCGAGAAAAACAAAAACAAAATTACCACACAGACTGGTGGACCTTCATGCATTGGTGCATATGTTGGAGGGATAGTGAGAAAAAGACCAAAGGTAGCAGGTGGGGGCCAGATTTGGGGAATCTTTGGGGTGCCCTGGGGTGGGACTATAGGGTCTCCCGCTTCTAACCCTTTCTCCAGATTGGAGCCAGGGAAGGCAAGACCAAGAGTTGACATCAGGATCTCAACCTTTTCATTAGAGCCTTTAGTGGTCTTTTTAGCTTCGCACCCCCCAACCTCCTTGAAACAGGGTATTATGTAGCCCAGGCTGGCCTTGAACTCTATGAACTCTTGATTCTCTGGCCCCCACTTCCTGAGTTCTGGGATCACAGGTGTCTACCACCACACCCAGTTTATATGGGATGCTGGGGACTCAAGCCCAGGGCCTTGCGTATGCTAGATAATATCTATCAGCTAATATAATCCACAGCTCTCCAGACCCATTTTTTTAAATTAAAGATTTTATTACCACATAAACACTGTGTGTTTGTCTTTCATCTGTGATGTGTGTGTGCGTGTGTGTATTTCTTCTTCCTCTTCCTCTTTCCCCTCCCCCCTTCTCCTTCCTCCTCCTTTGACAGGCTCTCATGGTACTCTGGCTGACCTGGAACTTCGCTGTCCAGATCAGGCTGGCCTGAAACTCACATAGACCCACCTGCCTCTGCCTCCCGAGTGCTGTGATTAAAGGCCTGCACCACCCATGCCTGCTGAAAATTCTCAAATCCATTTCCAGAATCAGTTTTTATTTTCTTCAGAGTGCTTAGTATGGAGCGAAAGCTTTTATGGGGTTGACCTCTAATTCCCTCCTTCCTGCCATTAGGAGGAACTGATTCCAGAGTTGGGAAGGAGGAAGCAAGGAGACAAATCCTTCGAATGGGCTAAGAGACATGAGAAGGCCTCATGAGCTAGCGGGGAGCAGGCTCAGAGGACCAGCTTCTGGTGGATCAGGCAGGGCTCAGGAGACAGCCTCCTCCTCTGCCGTCACTTTTCACAGCTGCTGAGCCTGGACTGTGTGCAGGCCCTGGGAATGAGATGGATGAGGCCGGGCCTTTGAGTCTGAGGACTGTGTGTGTGTGAGTGTGTGAATATGTGTGAAGGTGTGAGGGTGTACATGAGTATGTGTGAGTGTGTATGAGTGTGAGTGTGTGAATAGTGTGTGTGAGTGTGTGTGTATGAATAGTGTGTGTGAGTGTGTATGTATGTATGTGAGGGTGTAAGGGTGTGCATGAGTGTGTGTGAGAGTGTGTGTGTGTGATGGGGGGAGGAGAGAAAGTGTGTGGCAGGGGGTGGGGTGGGAGTGCCATGTCCTTTACTGGGGCTGAGAGCCACACTTTATAGCCTGAGGGGACAGGGGACAGAGGAGGTTGGACTTCCTTCTGGAAGTGGAGGACAAGGTGAGATTTTTAAAAGTTCACCTGAACTGGGCGGTGGCAACGCACGCCTTTAATCCCAGCACTCAGGAGGCAGAGGTAGGCGGAGCTCTGTGAGTTCGAGGCCAGCCTGGTCTACAAGAGCTAGTTCCAGGACAGGCACAAAAGCTACAGAGAAACCCTGTCTCAAAAAACAAAACAAAATAAAACAACCCCCCCCCCCCCACACACACGCAGGATGCTGGAGCTGAAACAGATAGGCCTGTAGAGAAAGTCATGAGGCAATAGATCTTTTAAAAAAGTGATGATTTCTCTAGGGGGTGTTCAGAGCACACATTTTATGTAAGATTTTAATGATTCTTTAGTTAATATAAGATAATGTATTGTGATATAAATCCATATGTGTATATGTCATGCATTTAGAAACAAAAAAAGAGCAAAGTAACATACTTGTCATACTGAAGGTTCAAGGCCAGCCTGGGAAATTAGTGAGACCCTATTTCAGAACAAAAGTAAAACTGTATAATAAAAGAGGTGGGGTGAGGAGGCTCACTGGGGAGCGGAGCTTGCTGCCAAGCCTGACTGCTTGGGTTTGATCCCTTGTCCCACGTGATAGATGAAAGGAAACAACTTCCAAAAGTCATTCTCTGACCTCCACGTGAGTGCTCTGGCAGGTGTGAGCACATGTACACACAGCGCACACATGCACAGACTAGAAAAGACTGGGATGTGGTTAGATTGTGAAGTGCTCAACTCCCAGTACCACAAAAGAAAGAAGCAGAAACTCTGAAGAGCGAATAACAGCAGCACTGGAGTGGAGGGAGGCTGACAGGCAGGAGGAGCCTGCTGGGGTCACTGGGGTCACACAGGGTCAGGAAGGTCACAGCACTGGAGTGAAGGGAGGTTGACAGACAGGAGGAGCCTGCTGGGGTCACTGGGGTCACACAGGGCCAGGAAGGTCACAGCACTGGAGTGGAGGGAGGCTGACAGGCGCAGAGCCTGCACGGGATCAGGAAGGAAAGAGAGAGGCTTGAATGCCTCTGGTGTCTCAGGCTAGGAGGCTGAGAGCCAGTGATCTAGAGCTGGAGGTGACCAGGAGAGTGCTGGCAGCTACAGGGCTCCAGACAGTTGTCCTGTCCTCTTGACCCTGGGCAAGCTCCTCCTCCTCCCTCCCCAGGAGCCTTGTGAGCATGGACCCATTTTCATTACTGGCATCCTAGAGGAGCCTATGAGCGGTAATACAGGCTCCACTGATGAGGGTCTCATTCTCCTGTTTATCGATTCTTCTCCCTACCCACTCCATGAGGTGCCTTCACCTCCTGAACCACCACACTGGCCCTGCAATAAGCTTTTGGGCTGGGTGGTGTGGTGGTGGCGCACACTTTTAATCCCAGCACTTGAGAGGCAGGGGCTGGCAGATCTCTGTGAGTTCGAGGCCAGCCTGGTCTATAGAGAGAGCACCAGGACAGGCGCCAAAGCCACACAGAGAAACCCTGTCTCGAAAAACAAAGCAAAAAAGCTTTTTGTTTGCTATTTTGAGGCTTGGTTTCTTTATGTAGCTCAGGCTGGCCTCTAACTAGTCACCCTCCTGCTAGGTTTCCAGGCTGTGGCACCACGGCTAGCTCCTGAAACCTGTTAGTTTCCCAGGAGCCTTGGCCCCAATCATAGGTCAGGCCTTTCCGTTCTCTCAGTAGACAGACATCTTGCTGTAGCAGACATTGTCTAGCTCCCAGGCTACAGACACACCAAGGAAGACCTTGCTGTTCTGGAGTTTATATTCATGCGCGGTCCACGGTGTGAGTGACGATGCCAGGAAGAAGGAAGAGGGGACAGGAAGTGGGGAATGTGAGGAGGAAGTGGAAGGCTGGAGGAGCCATGGTGCTGGAGTACAAAGGTGATGAGGGGTGGGAAGGAGGTGAGCTCAGAGAAGCTAGGCCTGGGAGACTGAGGACAGGCCCAGGGAATAGCTGAGGGTCAGGGTTTGGGCTGAGCTGAGAACGTCTCCAGAGGAGAAAGAGGTCTCAGTGGAGGAAGGAAGGAAGCCGCCGGGATGGGTGGGGTGGGCGTCCAGCACCTGTGGGGCCTTGTTCATAATACATTCCTCTGTCATTCTTCCTGTCCCAGCTCACACTGCCTGTGTGCCCCTCCCAATCGTGGGCCTTTTTTTCCCATCTATATGGATCTGGTGGTGTTCGGTGGCCTCTCGGATGACTTTCCCAGCAACCTGAGGAACCATGTTATGACCCCTCTCCAGCCTCCCCCTTTCCAATCATCTGCTATTGAGAGGTGATGGGGACGAGGCAGGAACTAGTCCCATGCTGGGCTCGTCCAGGACTCTGGTTTGGTTCTCAGTCCGGTGGTCTAGCTTTGGGAAGAGTCCCTACTCCATGTCGGGCCTGCCTTTCCACTCACTCTAGGGACGTTAGCTGCACTCTGCCCTTGGCCTTTGTCAAATGGAGCCTTGCAGTCTGGAAGAGGTAGGATGGCCACCTCACCCCATCACCCTTTTAATAGCAGACAAGTGCTATTAAAAGCCCGACCTTCAAGCGTCCTTTTCTGAAATTGGGGCAGGGTGTTGGGATTCTGAGCTTTCTGTTTGCCTGCTTGTAGAACATGGTGAGGCTCGGCAACCAGGAGCTTTGGCTTTAACTTTGGTATTAGCAATTCCCTGCAGTGGAGCGGGACTGTGTTGAATCTACAAGAACCATTGCCCCAGGCTGGAGTCCTGTTTATCATCAGAGACACGGGGGCTGCAGCTAAAGGCTCAGGGGTATGAGGTGAAGGAGGAGGCAGGGCAGTGAGTGGCTGAAGGCACCGCGGCCCTGGTCCTCTGGCCTGCCCTGTCACCTGAATGGTAGGGCGCTCTGGGATTCTTTTTGCTCACTTTCTGGACACGATCTCACTGTCTTTTAAATACCATTACGTATCACAGCGCCCCAAATTAGCTCCCTAGCCCCGTCCTATCTCAGACTTCAGACTCCCAAGTTTAGCCACCTACTGGAAAGATTTTCATCTCCCACACTCTCCTGAGGAAATGGCAAATTCAGTCTTTCAGCTGTGCTGGCAAAAAAAAACAAAAACAAAAACAAAAAAAACCTCTGAAATCAGCCCCGACTCTCCTTTCTCTCACATCCC